CTTTCTTTGGATTTCAAATTAAGACGACAGTTTACATGGACTTTTCTTATAGCAAATGTTAGTACAGCCATTCTTGGAGCAGATTTTCTCCATTTCTTTGAATTGGTGCCTGATCTCAGAAACAAATGTCTCAAAGATTTAAAAACGCATTTTAAAACCGTCGGTTGCGTGAAAAATGCAAGCATTTATTCAGTAAAAACTGTATTTAGTGATACACCATATCACAAAATTTTAAAAGAATTTCCTTCAGTTACTAGATTACCAGATCCTAACCAACCTGTTAAACACAACACCGTTCATTATATCATAACTAAAGGTCCACCTGTGGTTGCAAAACCTCGTCGGTTAGCTCCAGATCGCTTAAAAATAGCAAAACAAGAATTTCAAACTATGATGCAATTGGGGCATTTGAGACCTTCGAGCAGCAATTATGCATCCCCACTTCACATGGTTCCAAAAAAGGGAAGTCTGGAATGGAGACCTGTAGGAGATTATCGAGCATTGAACGCTCAAACAATAAAAGACAAATACCCTATTCCATGTTTAGCCGATTTTACTGCTGCATTGCACGGTACTAAAATTTTTAGTCATGTCGACCTGATTAAGGCATACCATCAAATACCAATTAACCCAGCCGACATCCACAAAACCGCCATATGCACACCATTCGGTTTATTCGAAAGTACCCGTATGCAATTCGGCTTATGCAATGCATCTGCGACTTTTCAACGTTTTATAGATGAAGTCACGCGGGATATGCACACCATTAGAAGGTCGAAAGTTTACGTTGCAATTCGATGACTGCAATGCATCTGCGAGCCTCTAAAGATTTCTGAGGAACATTGCAGGATTTAGCTTTGAATTTGAAAGCTTTATTTTCCAAACTTCAGGAATATGGACTTTGCATAAATGTTTCAAAATGCACCTTTGGTCAAACATCTATTCTATTGATTTCTTAGGTTTTCACCTTAGTGAAAACGGAATTGAACCTCTTCCTGACAAAGTCAAATGTATTTTAGATTTTCCTCAACCTACCACTCTCACTCAGCTTCGCCGATTTTTAGGCATGTTTAACTTTTATAGATGTTTCATACCTAAAGCAGCACATATTCTTTCTCCTTTTAATAAAATTGTTAGAAGGCTATATTAATAAAAGAAGTTCTAAATTAATAAAAAGAAACTCGTTCTCGTGTTCAGGATTCATCCCCACAATTAAATTGGAACGAGAATGCTGAACGAGAACTGAAAGCCTTTATGCTGCTGCCAAAAATGCCATTGCCATTGCTCAGGCTACCCTTTTGAGACATGCCACCCCCTATTCCCGGAGCCCAGCTAAGCATCTGGGTAGATGCCTCAGACGTCGCAATCGGCGGCACACTTATGCAGTTGTCTCAACAAAACATGGGAACCTATAGAATTTTTCTCTATGAAACTCAAGTAAAAGTCAACAGAAATGGTCCGCGTACGATAGGGAATTATTTTCTATTTATTCTGCAATTAAGAAATTCCGACACATGTTAGAGGGCAGAAATTTTATAATTTATAATACGGATCAAAAACCGTTAATATACGCTTTTAAACAGAACCCTCATAAATGTTCACCTCGACAATTGCGCCATTTAGATTTTATTTCTCAGTACTCTACTGATATTAGGCATGTGCAAGGTTCAAAAAAACGTTCGTTGCTGACGCTCTTTCAAGAATCGAAATTGATTCCATAACAAAATCTCCATTTTTGGATTTTAAAAAATTTTCGGAAGCTCAACGGCATGATCCGGAGGTACAAGACCTTCTCAAAAACAACACATCATCTTTGAAACTGGAATTTAAAACCGTGCCAATATTCTGATGGTAATATTCTTTGTGACATATCAACAGACATTCCTCGTCCATGTTGTTCCGAATTCCTTTCGCAGACTCATCTTTAATCATCTGCATAATCTGTCACATCCAGGAATTGCAGCTACTACGAAGCTTATTTGTTCTCGATATGTATGGCCCGATATGAAACGTCATATCAAAAATTGGGTGAAATCCTGTGAATCTTGCCATAAATCGAAAATTACTAGGCATACTAAAGCACCACTGGGCACATTCTCTCTTCCTGATGCACGTTTTTCAGAAATCCATATGGATATCGTTGGACCGTTACCTCCATCAGAAGGCAACGTGTACCTTTTGACTCTAATAGATAGATTCTCCAGATGGCCTGAAGCCATTCCCATCCCGGATATGAAAACGGAAACCATTTGCAGAGCCATCTTCAACTGTTGGATATCTCGTTTTGGGCTGCCCATCGATCATAACAACAGACCAAGGTTTTCAAATGAGATCCGCACTTTTTGCAGAATTTACGCGCATTTTGGGTACGAACAGAATCACAACAACAGCCTATCATCCAATGTCCAACGGCATTGTTGAACGATTTCATCGACATTTAAAATCTTCTCTCAAGGCTCACGAGACCAATAACTGGACTGAAACACTACCAGTTGTTATGCTTGGTATTCGGACAGCCATAAAGGAAGATCTACAGTCATCTTGTGCTGAACTGGTGTATGGCACAACTCTCAAGCTGCCTAGTGATATGATAACGTCATCTAAGATATCTCCGTATGACACACAATTTATCACGAATCTTCGGCATACAATGCAACAGTTGAATCCAATAGCAACATCTGCACATTGCCAAGAAAAATGTTACGTAAGTGCTACCTTAAAGTCGTGTACGCATGTATACTTACGTGTCGATCGAGTAAAGCCACCTCTGTGCCAACCATATACAGGTCCGCATAAAGTTCCTTTCTAGAACGAACAAAACTTTCACAATTGATATTAACGGTCTGAAATCTACTGTGTCTATAGACCGTGTGAAACCAGCCTTATTTGCTTTCGGACTCTAATTTGCCTGAACTGAAAACAAATAAAGACTTAAAGAAAGTTCAGCAGAATAAATCTGCAAACGAACTCTCTAAGACACAAACTGTCACCAGATCGGGAAGACATGTTCACTTCCCTAAGAAACTTGCTTCTTACATAACAATTTAAAACATTTTTTTTTTTAAATTCATATCTTAACATATTTTCTTGTTATTTCATATTTATTATATGTGTCAATACCTTGTTATATATTGAATTGCATTTTGATCTTTTCTAATTTTATATTCTAATTTTGTAATCATGTAAAAATACCCGACAGCACGGATCCTCTAAGATAATTTCATAACCTATGTCGTTCCTTTGAATAGTCATTAAAGGAACTGGGGGGAAACTCTGTGGTGATGGCGATAAGGAGCGCGCCTTGCGCCCTCCGATAAGTGTGGCAACCCTAGAGGAGAAGTTTCTTACGAGTAGCGAGCAGAGCGAAACAGGCAGGCTGTCGGGCAGTGTGCGCGAAGTTCCTAAATAAAGCTTAATTTTTATTGTGCACTATGTCTTATTAATATTTATATTAATGCAGTAGAAACAAAAATATGTGATATGGAATTCGAGGATTGGTGGTAAAAACATAACCGGAAATCACCATACTTTCTTATCAACTGCAGCATTTTTCGCAAGCATTTTGAACCAATAAGTATTATTTTATGTTTGGGAATTAACATCTTTGCTCTCTATGTGCTATCTGTGATATACATCAGTTTCCCTTCATAAAGGAAGACTGATGTATATCATACATAATGCAAATATCAAATGTGATACAGAAATGAAATAGCACAGACATCCAATGCTATCGTATTTGATAGACTAAAACAAAATTTTGTGCTTGAAATTTTAAAAGCTAATTAAATGATGTCACAATGCCATGAAACTTGGCAGAATATGTTGAGTGTAAATTTGTGTGGGCTCTCACATGCTCTCAACATTCTGTTTTATTCTATAAATGTGAAATGCATTATATTGTTCTATATATTGTGAGATATCTAAGAAATTTATTATGCTGTTGAGTCTTTTTGGTAGATAGGTGGCGCTCTTGATGCACGCCGATGAAAAATATATCACTTGACGCTTGAACATGAAGAATGACGCATGTCATATTTATTTGATGCTTGATTATGTTTCATGGCCGCTATAGGCGGAAGTAATATAAGTAATATAAGTTTATCGTTAATAAATGTTATTTCTATGTTCTGTGAACTCTTGAAATTTTGATTTGAAATTCTAATGCTCTCCCAACCTTGACTCCTGAAACGAAATGATCTTTGAATTTATGACTCATGAAGAGAGACACCACATATGCAATAAATAAGATTTTAATTTTTAAACCTAATTATGTCAGTATTATATAACACACATTCCTCTTTTCAACTTGTAAATGTTCTACTTCATTAACAAACAAAAATAATTAAAATTGAATAAGTTAGTATAACCATTATTAGCAATATAATATTTTATTTTAAATGTATAAATCAGGTCTTTTTGTAAATATATAAAAAAAATTAAACAAGAAATTTCCAAATTCAGATTTTTTGATATGAAGCAAGTTTTTTTAGTAATTTTTTCACACTTTAAGCTTAACAGCAAAATGCACTTCAGCACACACTCCACTACTTTGAGATAGTCTTGATTTTATTTTCATTGGTTCTATTTTAGATACCAAGGTAATGTCTGTTGTCAAATAACGTTCTTTTAACTTAGATATTTCAATGATTAAGAAAATCATTCTTTATATATATAACTAGAGATAAAATAAAATTTAACATAATAGCAACAACACTTTAAAAAATTATATTTTTTATTAATTTTTACCTACTTTCCTATGCTTGTAATTAATTAATCAATATTCAACTTTATGCAACTTGTATACATTCATAAGCTGTTAATCTTTAACACTAGAATTACCATCACATTACATAGGATTTTATATTATCTGAAATATAACACTTTGATGGATTCTCAATAAATCAATATTTTTTATTTTTTAACTTAATTTTCACACTTTCAAATACATAAATTCTAAAATATACTTCACAGAATAACAGACTAAAAAATATGCACCAAACCTTTTTTTAGTGCACCACACTCTGCTCCCTTTTTCTTTACTCCATTCTGAATTGCAGGGAGGAAACATTTCTTTGTCTTTATCTTCTAACCACTTATTTTTCTGATGCTTAGCTACCTTTTCTCTCACTATCAGCAATTCCTTTGTTGGATTTCCATTTTGATCATAATACCTCCCTATCAATTTACCTAAAAAATAATAAATTTTAAGAACAAATACATTGATACACTTACTTGCATGAAAAAATCACCTATACAGAAAATCAATATAAAATATCTAGTTGTAATGAAAGTTTTCCACTAAAAAACGTTCTTAATAAAGTTAGAAAAAAAAAAAAAAAAACATGAAAGCAGTACCTTTAGTGTGAGTAGTAACCACCACCCAAAATCTATGATTTTCTATAATACGCCAAACACAAAATTCCATTTTGAAAGTGAAAGCCCCCTTTGGGGCTTAAAAAACTCGTTAAAAATGTTCACAAAGTTTTACATTATTTCACAAAAACTACCTTACAAAGCTGTTATATAATAAATGTTTAATAATGTAATTTAGCAAAATGTTCAACTGGAATTAAATTTGGTAAATGTTTTTCAGCAACTTTTCCCACATAAAATCAATTATAATTTATTACATTTCAATTAATTAAAACTAACATGTAAATTAATGTTATGTGATTAAACCAAATGCGGTAATCCAGTGGACAGGTAATTTAATACATTAATTTTCTTTTTAAAACTAAATTTCATCATTCTCCTTTTTCTTGAGCAATAGCAAAATATACAAAAACAAGCAAAATGTTACAAAAAAAAATGGAAAAGAAATTAAATTTATTCATTAATAATATAAGAACAGGAAATAATACATGAATAGCCATTTTTATAAAATCCTTCTTACGGATTGAATGTAATCAATTTTAGATGAATTGTAATCAATTTTAGCATATCCTCCTCCTGAAAACAACATGTCGGAGTTGATTAGATTTCTCTTCTTTCATGTTCTTTATATTGTTTATTTTTTGGTTTTTCTTCTATTGGTTGAGTTTAATTTTTCTCTTTACATTTTCAGAATTTTAATTCTACATTTACATGTTTTTTTTTAATTTATTTATTACTTGAATTTCAATTTTTGGTGTTTGTGATAAAGTGGTTCTAAATTTCTGTCTGTATATATACTCATACCCACACCTTAATTAGTCTTTATTTTCACATTCGTTGGTCATAGTCATATACCTCCAAATATATTATTTAAAAAAAAATACTCCAAAATAATTTATTAGCAATTAAATTACTCCAAAAAAATTATCTTTGACAAATAACAAAATCTAACTTTTAGCGTGGTCTCCCAGTTCCTAAACTTATATTTTGGATAGTTTTATGCTAGTTATGAAAAAATTAAATTAACATAAGTTTGACTCCTCTTTGACAAAAACTGGCAAGATATTTAATTTTAAAATTTGCAATTTTTGATGTCATTTTCAACTTTCCTTGACTGATCAGTTAATTAAGTTAGAATAATTCAAGGAAATAAGTTAAGTGCAGCAAAAAATGTGTATAATTTTTACAAGGAAGTCAAGTGGTGCCCACGTCATATTTACATATGTATCAGATTTATATTTGTATACAATAACACCTAAAAAACTTTTCAAGGACTGATTACTTTTGCATATATTATTCATACAAGAACATTTAGAGTAATATTAAAGAAAATTTTTTCATTATGTATGCTAAAAAATATATTTAATTTAGTATTTAGTTCAGGAAACAATAAACCATACTTTTTTTTAACAGTTACTCAAATTTTAATTACAAACGAACCAAAAATGTTTTCTAATCATACAATTTTTCTATAAACAATGACAAAAAATTTAAGGATAAATAAATTATCATATATATTAGTTCGGATTTTTATATATATATTTTTGCTTTGATGTTATAGCACACCTTAGTAAAATTCTACTTCTTGTTATTTTGTCTTTTTGATGGGAGAAAAGGAAGGTGAAGAAGAAAGAAAGAAAAACACCACTTTCTATCTAATCATTCTTCCGCATAAGTAGTTTGGATTAACATAATATTTTAGGCTATTTCTTTAAACCTGGTGATATCTAATCTAGGGATCTCATTTTCTTTTTTTGTTTAATCTTAATTCCCTTTTCTGTTTAATCTTACAATTGAAAATAATTAGAAGTTCAGTTTAGCATTCATATAGGAGTTTTATTTTCCCATTGTTTACAGATTTATTTGATGTTATATGTAAGCTTAAATAGCTTCTGAACAAGATTTTTACATTATTCCTCACCAGTCTTTAGAACTACTTGTATATTATTAAGATATAGAATAAATTTGTATAACTTGAAAAAGAACTGAGATCACATAATTTGTACTCTGTGAATAATTAAAAATATGAAATTTGAAAAATATGGTATAATCTTAGTAAATGCATTAAAAAACACTTTCTTGATAATTATTTCAACAAATGTTTGTTCACAGCATATCATGCATTTCAATATGAAATGCACAGGTCTTAAGTACATGAAAATAAAAGATTTATCTTTACTTTTTTCTGTATAATTACCATGTTTACACTTAATGCATATATACCATATCAGGAAATGACTGTAGCAACAAATTTTGTATAAAGCGGAAATTCTGTGTGATGAGAATGAATGCATTCGAGAATGTCTAATTCAACCGCACTGTGACTTACAAACATTCTTAAAGGCATACTTCCTGAACAAAAAAAAACAAAAAAAATCATTAGAGAAATATGTACACACTTATTCTTTTAGATTTCACACTTGAATATTCAGACTGTTAGAATAATTCAAAAATGCACATAATTTATTCAGAATTTGAACCAGTTGTTGCTCAAAAACAAAATTTTTCCTTTCTAGTTGATGTTGATGATTTAACAATCATTTGTAATAATATTATAAGATTCTAAATCAAGGTAATATCAGGTTTATATTTCTGTTCAATTTTCAGCTAATTAGAATACTTTGTGGTGATCAATATGGAAAATGTTTAAAAAAAAAACAGATATTAATTTATTACTCAAAATCTTATGATAAAAAAGTTACAGTGCTAAAATTATATAGGATTATGGAGATCTATAATCATTGATAATGTCACCAAATGAAAGAGATAAAAATTTGCACACTCACCAACAGGTTTATATTCTTCTCTATAAAATGATAGCCAATCTTCTATTCCAACAAGCGAAGCACCATCTAGACCACTAACATCATCAGTCAAGCCATTTTCAGTAAAATCTCCAGTGATGTAAGCACGACTAGCATCACGACCTATTGCATTTAACAAGTATTATTATAACCTATTACATTTAACAAGTATTATCAAGACCTATTGCATTTAACAAGTAACAAAACTGTTATTTCTTGATACATTTAATTGTTAGTAATTCGCAAATTTTTTAGTGAATTTCGGAAAAAAAAATAAAAATGTCAATTAACTTTCAGTTACGACAGAAAACGTTAAAAATAGGAAGAAAAATCATCATTAATACCCCATAAAAATTAGCATACATTTCATGAACATTCATTTATTTCTAAAACTATTTTTTGTTTCATTATTTTAAATCAATTCTCCTTCTTCAAAAATTGCTGCTCTAATTATGCATATTAAGCTTACTTCTTTTAATCAATCAAAAATTAATATTAACTATAAATATAACACTTCAGCAATCATCTCAATTTAAAAAAAAAAAAAAAATTCTGGGAAGTCATTATATTTGAGAAACGGTTTTTCAGCTGGTGCAGAATTCTTGACATAAAATGTTCTTACTGTTTAAATAACTCATGACAAAGGACAACTTACATGTGAAATTATAAGTTCAAAAATGGCTGAAAAAGAGTTGAATTTAAGCATCATATAACTACAGCAAAATCAACAGAAATGTTTGTTTAGTATATCTGTTAAACATAACAATAGTTTATAAATTAATAAACATAAGTAAAATTTATTTATTATATGATTTACCTTCTATTTACATGTGCCTTAGAGGCTACTAAAAGTTCTAAATTTTCATTTTCCTCTATTATTTAAAATGCATTACCAAATATATATATATATCTGTGTATGTGTGTGTGTGTGTGTAGTGAAGAGGAAATAGCATTCTATCATGTGGTGAGAAGATAGAGTAATGGAATCACCACTGATTTTAATCATACAGAGAATTACTATGGATAATAGTTTAACATAACCCCCCCCCCAAAAAAAAACCACTCAAATTATCAAAATTATATAATGCTACTATGTGCACTTTTTATAAAATAAATAAATTAATATTTGATATTATAATTAATGCAAATTTATGACATTACATAAATACGAATAATTAAGACACAATAACACGCCGAATAAATACTAATTCAGAAATCAAACAACAAAAATCAGCGTTATATTTACAAAGTTTCCACAGGACTAGTTTCGATGGTTTTACCGAACCACCATCTTCAGCTGCAAAACCGCAAATGAACAAGATAGGAACTTTGATGAACTTTGATAGATGTGAACTTTGTAAATATAACGCTGATTTTTGCTGTTTGATTTCTGAATTAATAAATACGAATATTTAAAAAAATTCAGTGGCCCCACACCAGAAATAACTTCAATATATAATATTACCAAGAACAATATCTACCTAAATAGTCAAAAAATAATGTGATAACTTTACAACTATCTCTCAGCTGACAATTTAACGAAATCAGTAAAGTGAAACTAATCTAAGGTTAGATGACTAAATATAAGCAGCATGCAGTTTAGTTATGATACAAAAATAACAAAGATTTACGTTGGTTGAGGGTATGGTGTGAATAATAGACAACTTTTGCTCTTATAGCTTCATCAAAAAAAGGCAAAATTTTCTCCAGATTAAGATTTATACAAACCAGTAAAAAATGCGTATCCTCCCCCTGGTCTATAATGTTGAGCTCCTTTTTCCACGTCAAATACTTCACCTAATATAGCAAGATATAAGCCATCACTATCCGGTCCTCCATCATATGTTTTCAGTTCCTCGACTGTGAAGAGTTTAGCATTATCATCACCGTCTGAACTTTTGCTCTCCTTAGGTTGACCACTTTTTTCGGTTAAACCTATCCAAGACCATGCATTTATTAAATAACGTTCAGGTATTCCGATATTGCTAAGAACACTGCTAAATGATCGAGATGAATCAGGTGAAAAATACACGGCAGATACTAATAGGCAAAGTCCGATAGCTATTGTTGTTATAGCACTTGACCCCATCGCCGGAATTCCTTTCTGACATACAGCATCAACAAACACCGTCTGCTTCCCGTTTCAAGAGTGCCTATGCTAACAACTTACAAGTTAAATTTAGGTCGTCATATTGGTCTGTAAAATAATCCCTACGTAACGTTTAAAGATCCCTATTTCCCGCTTCAAGTTAGAAAATACCTTTTCATCCGAGGTCACAGAACGGTGCGTAACAGTATAGCCCTATGGGTGAAAGCCGAAATAAATCATGTAATAGCTGTGCCGAAGCAATACATCATGTAATGTGTGTGCCACTGATTACCGCAACTGAGCAACCGATACAAAAGTAAGATATTTATCAGTTTTCATAACTTTTCTTATTTATAATAACCGCCAGGTGACAAACACCGTAACCTTTCAATACGAGGTAACCGTGCGCAGAGCATTGTGAGCCTTGCGTAATAGTAATCATCGCCATTTTTCCTCAGTTTGCAAACACGCGTATTTTGCATTATTTCTGCTATGTAAAGTAATGCATTTCAGTGAAGCTATAAATGTCGATCCACATGGAAACAAAACCTCAACAGGGGGATAAAAAAGGGGAGAAGAAAGATGATTAAGTCAGTTGAGAAACATTTATTGAAGCTTAATTGCTCTGAAAATCGACGTAAGTCAAACCCATGTCTCGCAAGAAAATGATTCCATTCTTCTAAGAAACGTTACTCAAACCCAAACTTTATAAATGAATATAACAGATCATATATAATGTAGAGATATAATCTAAAAATTTCCATATATTTTATTTAAAAAAGCGCAGGCTTGGAAAGAGAAACAGGTAGACGTAACTGGTACCTGGGGCGGGGGGCTCGGATTGCCAAATACGGAAAGAAAACTTGAGACATATTTATTTGAGACTTGGAATTAAAAAAAAAAAAAAAAAAAAAAAAAAAGTAGCTTATATTTATACGGCACAACACACAAGGGCTATCTGCCTAAAGGGAGGGATGCCTTCTTGGAGGACTTTCTAAGGGAAATTCGCTTGTATTTACGTTACTCATAATGAAAAGCATAAAAAATTAACCATGCATCTAGCTTGTTCGACGGGGTATTCAGTATTCCTCTGACTTACCACTCGGCCATTGGAATTTGAAAAAGAAGCAAGAGAGTCTGTTAGTCGCACTGTTGCGCGACTTTTATTCAAGTCTGTTACCATTTGGTAAACTGCAAGACATTTATCCTTCAAATTTAATGTCTACTATTACACAGATGGTATTTTATTCTTGAGTGTCAAGATGTAGAAACATCTTTTTACTCGACTTCTGATAAGGAACGGTGGGGGGAGAAAGAGTAGGGTGAGAGGAGTGTGGGAGGCGGAAAAAAGAGAGTGAGGTCCGCACTAGCGGCGGCGAAAAAAGGTGGGGTAGCAAGTTCAGTGCCGTTATAACATGTAGCTGCGGGTGGTAAACCGCAGAGTCAGTTTAACGTGAATGAGTCAATTAAGGTTGTGATTCTTATGTGGGAAGGATGTCACATGGGTAACGATGTTTTTCTCTGGGATGCGGGGAGTGTCTGAGAGTGCTAATAAGGCTATTACTGTGGATTTGTACAAAATAAAAGAAGTTGACCGCTAATCGTTTAATATGCTCTTGAATAAGTTCGATTCGAAGGTCTCTGTGAATATAGATGTTTGGAATATACCAAGGAGCATTGATAATTTCTCATAGAATTTTATTTTGTAGAATTTGTAATTGTTTAATATTGGTTTTAGCTGCATGTCCCCAGATCGGTGCTGCATAAAGGAGGGCTGGGCGCAGTATGGAGCGATATAGAATTAATTTGTTTTTTAGTAGATAAGTGCTTTTTCTACCAAGAAGAGGTCGCATAGTAGCTGTGGTGATTTTAAATTTTTGTACTACGGACCGGAAGTGGGTTCTGAAGGTAAGTTTTTGATCAAGGGTGACTCCAAGGTGTTTGGTTTCATTAATCCAGTCTATTTCTTCGTCAAATATTTCAGGGAGTATTTCATGTTTCCTTTAAGGAAAATTATTGCCTTAGTTTTATCACTGTTAATTTTAATCCTCCAAGGGGTAAGCCATTTTTACAGTCTTATGAGATAGCTTTGGAGTTGGTTTCTTACGGCGATAACTGCGCAGGCTTTAGTAAGTATGGCGGTGTCATTGGCAAAGAGTGCAAGATGAACAGAAGGGTCTTTAGGGATGTCTTGTGTATAAATATTAAAAAGGTACCGCGAAAGTGCCGACCCCTGTGAGACACCAGCATTGATTCCTCTGGTGGTAGAGTAAGCAGTACCGATTTTGATTCTGAATGTTCTGTTGCTGAGAAAATAGGCTATTAAGCGAATAAAATGATCTGGAAAATTGAGAGTGATAAGTTTGTAAATAAGGCCTCGATGCCATACCCTGTCAAAAGCTTTCGCGATATCGAGGAATATAGCACCGGTCGGAAGCTTGAAGTTGTAGCCTTCAGTGATAATGTTGATAACTCTAAGAAGTTGGTGGCAAGTGCTATGATGATTACGAAAACCGAATTGTTCTTCTGGGAGAAAATTCATGAAAGGGTGAATTTTTTGGATGTGGAAAAGTAGGATTTTCTCAGTAACTTTAGAGAGATGGCTAAGTAAACTGATAGGGCGATAGTTCTGTGAGAGAGTTGGATTTTGTTGCTGTTTTGCATGTCTACTATTGATGAACAAACTAAGCTATTTAAAAGCAATAGATGCAGTTCTTAAGAATATTAATTTTTAACTTTTTAATATGATTCAGTTAAATAAAAATGCATTTTACTCATAATAAAGCTAATTTAAAACATTAAAAACTTTCATAGAATTACATTACATATTTCTTCACTTTTCAAGTGTATAGAAGGTATATGCAGCCTAAATATACACTCACTTCCAAAAGTTAAGCACGGAGAGGAAAATGCTAATGTCCGGAAGCCAATCAGAATTGAAGAGGATGCAATTCGCTGCAGAGGTAGATGGAAATATGCAAATACATTAGGTAACAGCCAATCGCGCTTTCATGTCAAGAAATATGCAAAAAAGGCAGTCTTATAAGAAGCCAGCTTTATGAAGGGTTACAGAAGTTGATTGTAAGTGCTGATAGAAGGTGTTTAAAACTTTCGTACAATTTGTTTTCAAGACATACGTGTTTCTCAGGGGCGTAGCTAGAGGGGGGCAAGGGGGGCATCTGTCCCCGGGCGCAGAATCCAAGGGGCGCCAAACTGATGTTACGACATTTTAGAATTTAATGTTTTCCATCCTTGGCAAGCAGTAGGGGGCGCGAAATCTTCAGTTGTCCCTGGGCGCTGAAAATCCTAGCTACGACTCTGGTGTTTCTATGACTTCCAGAAGACGAATGGAAGATTATGAGCGCTGGCATGCTGTGGGGCGCATTTGAGCAGGACAGTCGATCACAGATGTTTGCTCTTTTCTTCGGCGTTCATCATTCTGTAATTTCACGTTTATGGGAACAATTGCAAACCACACAGACAGTTGTCCGAAGGCCCGTAGCCGGTAGCCCAAGAGTTACAACCCCTGCGGAAGATCGATATATCACTATTGTAGCCAAGCGGATTCGCAGAGCGTACAGCAGTGTCCACACCTGTGACATCTATGGTTACAGCGTCCATTGGTAAAGCGATATCTGCAGCTACTGTACGTCTAAGATTACATATGAGTGGACTGTACCGTCACCACCGGAAAAACACCGGTAGTGACGACTGTACGCCCGGGTACATCGAGTTTGTGTTCCTCTATCCGTCCAATCAAGAGGGACACGATTACAGTGGTGCCGGGAACATGTCAATTGGAAGGTGTCTGACTGGGTTAATGTTATGTTTACTGATAAGTCAAGATTTGCTGTGGAGCCAGATGAGAAGCGTATAATGATATAGCGGGAACAACGAACACGCAATCAGTCCCAAAACATCACCGAACATCACGCATTCCGAGGCGGAAGCATTATGGTGTGGGCAGGGATTTCATTAGGATGCCGCACACACCTGCACATCTTTAAACGGGGTTCTTTGACGGCCGTACGGTATCGAGATGAAGTCCTAGAAGCCATTGTGAGATTGTACGCTGCAGCAGTTGGCCCTACTTTTGTTTTAATGGACGATAACGCACGTCCCCATAGAGCTGACATCGTCGATGATTACCTGGAGAGTGAAGGGATTGTGCGTATGGCGTGGCCAGCATATTCGCCCGACCTTAATCCCATTAAAAATCTTTGGGGTGCTCTCGGCCGTGTGTATCTTCAAGTTTCCCACCTCCAGCCACTCTTATTGAGCTGGAAACTGCTCTACAGGAAGAATGGCGATTGCTTAATTCTGCGGTGGTTAACCACCTAATTGAAAGCATGGTCACAAGGTGTAAACTTTCTATACAGATGAGGGGGCATCACATACCCTATTAATGTCCTTTTTTTATTTATGCTGTTTATTTCTACATTTACATAATTCTGTTTAAGTCTCCAGTATGTCATTATCTGATAACTTACAAAAATTTAATGTTGTTTTCATTTCTGTATATAATTATTGATTTTGTTTTATACATAAATATATATGCTACTTTCCTGCCGAATTTTGTGTCAATCAAAGCAGTATTTGTTGATTTTTTTGCATTTTACATCTTCGTGCTTAACTGTTGGAAGTGAGTGTATTAAATATATAGTTACCTAGTATCACATAAAACGTTTCGCTTCGCCTGGTCCGGCTCTATTGATAATTTCTGCTAATCAACCATAGTAAACTTTAAAAAAGCCCTTTTGGGCGAACGTTAGAATTTTAACTCTTCCAGATTTCCCCATACCCTCTTTTTTTTCCTCTAGTCTCATGCCATATTTTTGCATATGCATTTTTCAAACTTTATTTAATTTTGTATCGCATATTATATCTGAAAATTGCTTTTCTTAGTTTAAATATTTTATTACTTTGAACATGACAGTTTTTAATTTAGACATTTATATATTTACAGAGTATACATAATTTACGATCATAACGAATAATAAAAGAGCTGGATAATTCCTTATAATAATAGTAATAACATAATAAGTTTCAAAAATTAAACTTCCAAGTACATAAAATAATGCTTCACAAATTAAACCTTTATCATTACAATAGAATTTTTAATTTTTAGCAAATGAGTCAAACAAATATAATGTAATCCTAAATTATTTTGTCGTATTAAGCCGTCAAAGTACTGTAAATAGATTTGTAATTGTGAAATTAATT